AGCTGCTCAGAATGGTAATAATTGGATACTTGTCTTTACTAATAGAAGACTGATTTGATCTTATTTATCGATCAAAATTATTTTTCAGATCATAAAAATGTCGCTCAACTTCTCATTAATAAAGGAGCCAATGTTAATAGTGAAAATACTGAGAAAAACACACCTCTTCATTTAGCTGCTCAGAGTGGTAATAATTGGATACTTGTCTTGTATAATAGAAGATTGATTTGATCTTTTTCATCCATCTAAATTACTTTTTAGGTCATAGGAGTGTCACTGAACTTCTCATCCACAATGGAGCAAATGTTAATGTTAAAAATAATTCGAATGAGACACCTCTTCAAATGGCTGCTAACAATCGTTACCATTAATGGTAAAGCTGACTCAATGAGACTAGGGTCGCCCAGCGGTCGAAATACGACCGAGTAATAGTTGACACCTAAGATTTTTTTTTCAATCTCAGTTATTATAGAAAAATAACTCATAAGTTAAACGGTAATTGAACGAGAGTTGAAAAATTTAAGTAAAAACAATTGTCAAAAAAATAAAATCGGTTTCTTTCGATTTAAATAATTCCATTGAAATTCTAATTAAAAAAACTCATTTGAGTAAAAATAAGAATATTGTTGCCTAGGGGGTTCATTGAAGAGTAAAAACGTGTGAATATTTCTGAATATTGTAGATATTTTACTACTTATTTTCGAAAATATTGTTAATGTAGGTGAATATTGTGAATATTTTGAATACCATTTTCAGATGGCAAGAGTGGGTTCGCCTCGTGGCCGAAGATTCGGCCAATATAAAAAAAAATCGATACCACTTTCTGGGTGGGCAGTGGGAACTGGGGACCGACCCGAAGGGCCATTTTCATTCGTTCCTCCGCGGTGCTCTCCTCTCCACCTTTGTGGGCACAACCATCAACGAATTTATTCATTTATCACAGAAATGGATAGTTTTTTCGGTTTTCGCTTGAAAATCACCCTTAGGGTTGGTACCTCGGGTCCGTAAGTGAAAATCCTTTTCTTGCCGCAGAAAAGTCCACTTCAAATATGCAAGGGGCTTTGATGGTGTCCACATGTGAATTCACTGCGAATCAAATGTGAATGAAGATAATGGCTTATTTTCGTAATTTCCTACCTAATAATTTTGAATGACATAAAACGTAGTTGACCCACCCCCCTCTTTTGAAAACAAAATTTTAAGCGACTCATTTAATGCGTACTGCAACTGGTATTATGCTCCTGTACAGTGCGCTGATATAATTTCCGTGCGCAGAATTGATACATTTAAGCAAAATCTATTGTCAAAAGTTAAAATTGGTTTTATTCGATTTGAATAATTCCATTAATATTCTAAATTGCATTTGGCAAAAATAAGAATATTGTTGTTCGTATGCTTCCCCTTTTCATTTTTTTCTCTATCTTTCTCTCCTTCTCAACAAATAGAAAATCTGAAGCAACACAGTGTATCGATGAATACCATATTTTAACTTTAGCAAATGTTCATTCTTCTCAAATGTTTGGGTTTCCTGTTGTTGGTCTCTTCTTTCTTCAACCTCGGAATATTTCCTGTTTTTTCGTTGGCAATTGGATGCAAAATCTGTTGCATGGCAGATGGAACCATACTCAGTTTGGATTTTCTCCGACAATTCTTCTTCCAAAAAGGTGAGCAATGAGTGATTACTGCATTCACACTTTGGTTTCACTCCATTGTACACTGTACAGTATACACACAAACGTAAGTGTATATGCGCCCAAAATATGCTACGACATATTCATTTTGTCTCTTTTCTTCCGAATAACTTTTTTTCTGCACACAAAACAGACGTGAAGCATTAACGTCACACGATAAATAGAGAAAAACATCAACTCTGCATTTGATCTTCAGTTCATTTGTGCACGCACACAAAAAAAATTGTCGTCAGTCAGTCAACAGAAATTCGGGGAAAATTGGAGAAAACTGATTGATCAAAGTACACGCACATAGAAAAGAGAATCTTGTAGACCCTGCGAATTCCATTGGTGAAACGTCAAACTACCAATAGATTGTTTCAAATGTATTGGTAATTTCAGTACAAAGAAATTTCGGTACACAGTGTTGTCGAAGATAATCTTATCTATCTATAAAACGAGATAAGATAAGATAAGATAATATCTTTTATCTTATCTAGATGTGGCGCAATACAACTTTTTATTGCTGCCAAAGTTGATTTGGAATGAAGAAAAAAAAAAGTCGTCGATTTATCTTCGGTAGATTTATTTGAATATCGTTTATGTAAATGCGGGTAGTGAATTTGGTGTGTGACTGTCGATTCGATTGTGTGTTTGAGTGCGGAAGCGTGAAGTTTGTATAATTTAATCAGAAGAAAATTATTGACCAAGGCAAATGTTCGTCCAACATGGAATTTTAATCGGTCAACGAGAACTTCTCGATACAAAATTCAACTTGAATTTTGCGTGCGATTCAATTCCCGTTTAGACAAACACTCAAATTAGCCGTCTAAACTATAGAGCTAGCCAATTCGATATTCGCGGTGGTTCAATATTGTTTTATTCAAAAATCTACTAAATTAGCTGTCTACTGTAGCACTGGCCAATTCAGAGAGATTTTTTAAATAAATTAGGCACAACTTGTGCGGATACAAAAAAAAATGGACACTGTCCGTGTATCGAGATTCGATGCAAAACTCAAAATTAAATTGCGCACAACTTGTGCGATTGATTTAATGTGGAACTATCCTTTGCTGAGACTCGCGTAGAACTGAAAACTGATTTTGATTCTCTCTCTGAATTGTCACTGTGTCACAGCGCTTACATTTGTATTGGTATTTTAGCCCGAATGTTTTTTACACGCAAACACACAAATGAACATCAGTTGAACCGCAGAACGCAATTTCACAACAACAAAAAACTATACCTTCATCCATGTTAAGCGGTTGCACTGGAATGACTGTGTTGAAATGCGTTCAGCGGTTTGACAGATGACAGAACGAGAATGAGTAAATTGAATGAGCAAATTTGAACGATATGAAACGAATGTGAAATTGAAATGAGTACATTGAAAGAACTTAAAACTAATTCAATAAATCCACAACATTCTCCCCCTCATTGAAGCGGTCAGGAACTGGGCGATTCAATTCAGTCGAATTGTCCAAGATTGGAAGTACTCCCAAACGATGTATCGGCCTCTTTAGAACAGATCCATGACATAGAACGTCCACAATGCGAATCAATCCATTTTTTGCTGGATATACTGCAGTTATCTTACCAATTGGCCACCGGCTGGGTGGTACATTGTCGTCGGAAATGACGACAATTTGTCCGATTCGAACGTTGGGCTCTTCTTTAGCCCATTTTTGCCTTGCTTGTAGTTGATCGAGATATTCCTTAGACCAACCCTTCCAAAAGTCCGAGTAGAGACGATGCAGATATTGATATTGATCCAATCTTTTCATGGGTATGTGAGAAAGATCGGGTCTTGGCAACGAATTTATGGCTTGAAAATTGAAGAAATGAGATGGCGTGATTACTTCGCAATCATCGCTATTCGGTGAAACCGACCACAACGGTCTGGAATTAAGACAACATTCGATTTGCTTTAAAACGTGATCGAATCTTCTGGCGGTCAACTTTGTGTCTTTCATGACGCGCTTCAAATGATATTTCATCATTCCAACTGCCCTTTCCCAAATGCCAGCCATATGACTAGCTCGTGCCGGCGTATGTTTGATGGTGATGCGGTTGTTCGAAAGCAGTCGAGTTAATTCGTTCGTTTGGGACAACATTTGATCATGCAAAATACGAATTTCCTTTTCAGCGCCGGTGTAATTAGTAGCGTTATCAGCCCACAATTCAGTTGGAATTCCACGACGTGCAATGAAATTTTCCAAAGCCATGATGAATTCGGCCGATGAAAGATCACAGGCAAGCTCGAGGTGAATGGCTTTCGTTGTTAAGCAGATAAACAAAACAACGTATCCTTTTGCGATGGGAGCATTGCGACGTTCACTAGTTTTAATCTCAAAATACCCAGCGTAGTCGGTGCCCACGAATGTGAATGGTCGGGCTTGTTGTGTTCTGAATGATGGCAATTCGGCCATTTGCTGTGTGAGTAATTTCTTCTTCGTGCGATAACATACCATGCATTTGTTGATGAGTTTTTTCGTCTGGTTGCGTGCGTGTATTATCCAGAAGCGGTCGCGTAAAGCACGCAAAGTCAATTGCACTCCACCGTGTAATACTTGTTTTTGGTGTACGGCTTGAATGATGAGTCGAGTCAAAGGTGAATCGGCTGGCAAAATGATGGATATTTTTTGTTCAAGCATTTCGGCGTTACCAACACGGCCGTTCATTCTTAGAAAACCATTGTCATCCATAAATGGTGTCAGTTTGATGAGTTTGCTGTTTTTTGGCAAGCCAAGTTTTCCTTTCAAACGAGCAATTTCGTGACCAAAGCATTCCCTTTGCACATTCTTTATCCATGATTTTTCAGCGGCATCAATTTCCAAAGCGGTGATAGGTCCCTTCATCGAATCAATTTGTTTTTTGGATTTTTTCAGCCAACGAATAGCATAGCATGTGAATCGCAACAAACGAGTGTAGTCGGAAAACCAATTCAAAACTTCATTCGTTTTCAACGGTGCTGTGGGAAGTGTTTTGATCGTTTTGCGTTTTTCTGGGGCATGGTCGATCGGCAAATTGTGATTTTGTTTTGGATTCGATTCATTTGGTGAGGTTAAAAATGAAGGACCGTGCCACCAAAGCGATGATTTTTCGAGCTCATTTACCGAAAGTCCACGTGATGCGATATCGGCAGGATTCTGTTTTGACGGAACGTGCATCCAACGACTTGAATCGACATTTTGCTGTATTTCACTTACTCGATTGGCAACAAAGGTAACCCATTTGCTTGGATGTGTTGAGAGCCAAGCGAGCACAATTTTTGAGTCACTCCATGCGAAGACTTTGAAATCGACCAGTGATAATGCTTGAATGCATCGAACGACAAGTTTTGAGGCTAATAGGGCACCGCACAACTCTAAACGTGGTATAGTTGACACCCTAATTGGAGCTACTTTCGTTTTTGCGGCAATTAAATTGCATGATACGGTGTTGTCATTGTGAATTATTCGCAAATAAACACAACACGAATACGCGAGATTTGCAGCGTCACCAAATGCATGAATTTCGATTCCTCGTTGTGAATCGGATAATCGAAGCCAACGAGGTATTTTGATTGGCACTGGAGCAGTGATTTCATTGAAAATCGATGACCATTGTGAAGCAAGTTGAGTGGGCAGTTCTGAATCCCAAGAAATTTCGTTAGACAGTCTCCAAATGTCCTGCATCAAAATCTTTGCTTTAATGATACAGGGAGCCAACCATCCCAATGGATCAAACAACTTAGCGATGGATGATAATACTTTGCGCTTTGTCCATGTTCCAACTGCTTCGTGTTGGAGCGATTTGAAAATGAATTCATCTGAATGAGCTTGCCATGCAATGCCGAGAGTTTTGAATGTTGACTCGAAACTGATGCATTCTTCACGATCTGTGTCGTCAACGTTTTCCAGAATTCGTTGCTCGTTTGTTTTCCATTTTCGAAGCTTGAATCCATATTCATTCAATGTATCGTCGAGCTCTTTCCTGAATTTGAACGCAGTATCAGTTGACGAAAACGACTTCAAAAAATCATCAACGTAAAAATTCTTTTGGATGGCCGATGCGAGTGATGGATTGGAGGATTTTATTCGTTCACCCACTTCATGGACACTTCGAATAGCCTGGAAGGCAGCGCTGCTTGTGCCAAAAGATACAGTCAATAACCGATATTCTTCAATTCCGTCGGTCCCCGGTCTATGAAATAGAATTGACTGAAGATTGGCGTGTTTTGGATTTACATAAACCATTCGATACATTTTTTCTATGTCAGCTGAAATTGCAAACTCGAATTTTCGCCAGTCGAACAATATGTCAAACAGTTCAGGTTGAATCACTGGCCCGACGCACAAACAATCGTTTAATGAAATGCCAGTACTTGTTTTTGCTGAACCATCAAATACACTTCTTACTTTGGTGGTGGTTCTCGATTCCTTTAAGACGCCATGGTGAGGCAAAAAATATTGGAACGATGGAGAATCGTTAACCTTTTGCATGTGGCCCAACGATAAATATTCTTCCAAGACGGCATCATATTTTATTTTAAAATCAGGATTTTTTGCGAATCGTCTTTGCAAGGATTTGTATCGACGTTCAGCAATCGATCGTGATTCACCAAGTTGCTCCCATGGATTTATTTTGAATGGTAAATCAACGACAAATTTACCGTCGGTAGCTCGACGAACGGTATTTTTAAATACATCCTCCGCCATTTGCTCTTCTTGTGTGGGAATACGTTTGTGAGAGACCTCTTCCAGTTCCCAAAATGCTTTCAACTGAGCGTGCAAATCAAAGTCCTGATTGTCGAGTGTGTTTACTTTAATGTGATGACACATGGCAGTTGTTCTTTCTGAAATATTCATGCGACCGTAGACTATCCATCCAAGCTCGGTGTGTTGTGCAATGGGATGCTCACGTTTACCTTTAACTACGCCGGACAAAACGACGTCACCGTGTGTAGCTGAACCCAGTAGCAAGTCGATTTTAGCTGGCTCAAAGTAAGTTGGATCGGCCAATGGCAAATTTTGCAAGTGCGTCCAATCTTTGACAATCTTTCTATTGAATCCCACGATTTCGCCGATACATCGAACAACAACTGCACGGATGATGAGTTTATAGTCTTTGTTTTGTGCAGATCCAATTTCAATGGTCACTCGTCCGAGTGCTTCTCCAACCGGTACGTTGCCGACTCCAGTCATTGTCATTTTGCAACGCGGAAACTTAATGCTCAATAACCGACACGCATTCAAAGAAATCAGATTGGCGGTTGCTCCTTGATCAAGAAGTGTTTTGAATAGGGCCGATCGATTATTGAAACTAGTCGGCACTAAGGCGGTGGCCAACATTTCATCATCGTTTTTTTGGTAACATGTACTGGAGTCCGCAGAACTGGAGTCCGCCGAACTGGAGTCCTCAAAACTCGAACTCCAGTCCGAGTCAAAGCGAAGTCTAGTCCTATAAATAGAGAACTGTGGTCCAGGACCGCAGTTCGGATATAGGAGCATTGTACAGTCCTGTCAAAACCGATTTGGAGTCCCGGACCGTAGGTCGTTTCTAAATTGATCTATGAAGGATCATGACAGGGGAGATTTAAAATATTGCACATCAATAAACATTTTTCTTCACCAGAGGAATACCATATGGTGTCTAAATTTCTTTATCTTTGACTTTCTTCTCCTTCGAAGAAAATGTACTATGACCTAGGACTAGAGCATGTATTTCAAATCCATTCAGTCTTTATTCATCTACTCGTGTGTTCGTTTGTTTTTCGTAATCATGTGCACAAGAAGAAAGAGATTAAATATAGGAACCATCGACACTTTATTCAGAGAATTCGATGAGGAGGACAAATTCGATGATGGTTGGGAGGAGTCATTTAGAAATTATTCAACTCAAGCTGTTATTGTCGATAAGAATGTGGAAAAAAGTGAACTAAATGACGGCTGGGAAAATGAATTGGCGGATTACTCCACTCAAGCCGTTAATGTCAATCCAAATGTGGGAAAAGATGAGCTAAACGATGGATGTGATGAGCTATTGAATGAAAGTTATGACAGTGTGAAAAAAAAATTTGAAAAGAGATCGTTGGTGCCTGAAAATATGACTTATTTGATTCAAAATACGAAAAAAGAGATCAAAAGAAATCATCTCGTGGCCAAAGTTAGATTGCGTGAAAAAAATATAAAATGGATGAAGGAGAAATTAAGCGATAAATTCTATCCTGTAGAATAATGGCCAAATTATGTCATAGAATTATTGTTCTCTCGCGATTTCGGGTACTCAGAGAGAATTGGTTTGGCAACGTTCCTGCATGGAAATGGAATGCGTGAAAAAGAGTTCGGATTGCAACTTTTCCAATGCTACAACAAATTCTGGAAATGGGATCGATTTTGGCAGACGCGATTTGACAAATTTCAGGCGCTCTTCGCATATTTGGACCAAGTTAATAAAAATACGGATACTGGCGACCGCATTCGAAGTGAATATTTTTACTACGACATGAATTTGGGACAAACGGTATTTTACGACGGCTACATTCGCACCAAAGAAGGAAACAAAAGAAGATATTTCTCCATTTTCGATAAGAAATTTTAATAAGTAAATTAGTGACTGATTTGCAATTTGTCATTTTTCTTTTCAATAGTATATTTTTATCCCACTTTCGTTGGATTTGCTACTTGTTACTTCAATAACTTGTTAACTTCATTAGCAAGGGAATTTCCATTTGACTTTTTTGTGTACAATTTGAAAACCATAATAAAATGATGAAAAAAGAAAACATTTGTTGTTAATGAACTATGAGCCAATTTATAATATCCATTTATGAATAAACAAGCGCACTGTGTCAACATGTGATGTTAAAAAAGAACACACAAGTGTGATGAATGAAGCAGAAGAATGTGAAAAGAAAGTAAAAAGGGATCATAATCCACTTGAATGACGACAAAGAGGAGAAAGAGAGTAGAAAGAGAATGAGAGGAATAAGAGAAGAAGTACACTAGAAATGGCAGAGCGTAATGCGAATGCAAACGCAACCAAAGAGGGAATACACACACTCAATATTATAGCGACATCTATTATTAAAATAGCTTGTAGTAAACGCATTCATAGCATTTCACTGTAGTTTCGATGTTACCTATTAAATTCCCCTGTGGTATGTAGTTAACAAGTGTCAAACATGAATGTGTCAGTACTACAAGGGAATTTAATAGGAAACATCGCGACTACAGGGAAATGCTATAAATGCATTTACTACAAGCTATTTTAATAATAGATGTCGCTATAATATTGAGTGTGCAAAAAGATTTTTTTTTTCGTCGCTTCTTTATTTACATTTGGACGCAAAGGGACAACATGATGGTCAAGTCAATGAAAATATTATTTTTTTGTCTTCTTGGCCTTCTTCTTCACTGGCTCAGCAGGGGGGCACACACACGACTTTTTCTTCCTCTTACGAACAAGAGGCTCGGTTGGTTCGGTCTCGTCAATATCGGCTGCTTTCTTTCTCTTATTCGTACGAAGAACCAGAGGTGACGATAGAACATCAGAAACAAAAACATATGGGTCGACGACATCATCAACAACACCACTATCCTGAGATAGAGTCGATGAACAGGATGGTGCCAATGGCAGAAAAACTCGATCAGACTCATGGTCAAATTCGAATTCAACTTCTTCTTCATATGCAACCGTTTCGAAGGTGGTCAAATTTTTCACCCAATTCTCCTTATCATACGTTAACTGACGCAAAAATTCCATAGGAGTCAAAAGTCCATCACTCAATTCCTTCGAAAGACGAGTGATTTCATCGTCACGAAACTGAAAAACGAGAAAATGAATGGAAATTGAAATATAAAATTTGAATCTAAAATGAAGGGTGATTGAACGAGAGCAAAGAACTTAAGTAAGGTAATTACCTTATATTGCTTACGAGGTGGCTTGGATTTACCACCACTTTCGAAATGTTGACGGAATTTCAACGAGGAATTAAATTCCTGCAAACGCATATCGTAGACAAAAGTAAAAAAATTCCCTCTGTTTACGACGGTATCGTTCATAATTTTATTGTTGACCTCGACTGAGCTCGTTGTCCGCATTGTTGTGCCATTCACGGAAATGTTAGAAGGACCCTCTTTGACTATCCATTGACGATGGTAATATTCAAAAAACAATAGAAAACCATTTTTGTCAATGGACATGGCTTCTATCCGAAGAGACTGATATGCACCAAGAATATGCTCTGCAGGTAGAAGAGGCAAGCATTGTATTCGATAGTAAATTGACCTGAATATGAGAGAAAAAGAAAGAGGAGAAAATATGTATTTATGAAAAGATTAAAAAAAGGCGAAGAAAAGATGGAAAGCTACCGTGCACGGGGATTTGACCGAATCAATTCCACTAATCCAGCTGTTTGCCACGCGCGCCGTTTCACGGCCTGTGTATAGTGAAAATAGCAGGTAAACCGTTTGACAGACGGATCCAATTTAAAGAGGGCATTTCGCATCGCGATCTCGTAGTCACTTGTGTATGAAGCCACACCACGCAATAGAAAAACGTTGTCATGAATGTATTTGAACACATGCTCATACGTAGCTTGTGTTTTTCGGCTCATTAATACATAAGCAAAAGGAAAAACCTTGAAAAAATTCAAAAGTTAGAAGAGGATAAAGAAAAAAAAAATAATATGTGCAAACCTTTTTATGTTTTCGAATGTAGAGAACGAAAAACTGAACGAATGGTCCAAAAGTAGCGCTGACTCCATTGACTTAGAGTGTCGTCATCTGTTTCTAGTGGTACCTCGTTTGAGCTTGATTCAGACATTTCCGTTGCTGCAGTCGTTTCGACTTGGTTCAAGAAGATTTGCTTACCTTCAACATGCAATAATGAGTTATGAGATTCAGAGCATTTTTTGCACGCTGGTTGGAATGGACACGACTTCACATGATGCGGATAAAAACAATTTTCGCAGAGATTTTTTCGTTTGATTACTTTCACCCTATCGGCAAGTGACATTCGAAGTTCATCACAGCGAGAAGGCAGATGATTTTTGCCACAAAGAAGACATTTGTAGTCGGGTTTCAGCGTATAGAAAGCTTTGATCTTGTCAGCTTGCTTCTTGTTTTCAAACGAAGGTTTGTGATTGGATTGCGCTTTGTAATTCGATTTCGGCGTCTTTTCAGAGACGGGAGTCTTCTCCTTTACACTCGAGAAATGTTCAGTGGTTTCAAGAGTAGTTATTCGAGTTCTCAAAAAATCCAATAAAACCTTCAATTCGGGTACTGATCGTTTACCTTCTAATTTTTCTTCCCAATGTGTCAGAGTGGAATCATCAAATCGCTGCGACAAATGAAAAATTATTAGGGAACTCCACGAAGTTGTATCGATGTTAAATTCATTTAGAGCAGCAACCATCGAATTGACGGTGTTCAACATTGAACGCAAGGCAGTGGCTGTAGGAGATGACAGCTTTGGAATGGCATAAAATTTACGAAGATGGTCATTCACAATCGACCTCGGATGTTCAAAACTAGCTTTCAACAATTGCATTGCACGGGTGTAACAATTCGGACCAGGCAATACGTAACGTACTGTCTCACGAGGCTCGCCAATTAATGCGTCTTTTAAAAATTGAAGACGATGCACATCGGGTATGCGATCTGTTAAAACTGAGTCACAAGTGGCTTTGAATTCGATCCAATCGCCAGAATTGCCATCAAACGGAGTGATTCTTATTGGAGGCAATTTGAATTGAGAAGAAATAGCGGTTCCAGTTGTATCACTTTGTATGTTACTTGCAGTTGGTGTGAATGTGTGCTTGGCAATCAAATCAACTACATGCAGCTTGGCCTGTAAATATTGATTATGACTCTCAACATATTCAGCGGTTACCATTTCCAAACTGGGATCAGATGAAGCAGAAAGGGCGTTTTCATGGTCTTCGAATGCATGGATAAAGTCGTTCCATTTTTCCTCCAAATCGTCTTTTAGCACACGAAGAGTGCTCAAATGCGTAGTATCATTGAGATGACTAATATTGTCGACTGTAGCTCTAAGCATTCTTTGAGTGCGCATACGAACCGTATCCAAAGTTGAAAAGATATTACCTTCTGCGGCTGCTGCAGCCGATTGTCTCGATTTGCGACGATTATTGCCCATATTGCAAAGGAAATTGTAGAAAATTTGATGAAATGGTGTTATTTTCTTCGTAGAAATGTAAATATTTATTTGTTTTTTAACATGCAAAAGTGTGAGTGCAACAGAATGATGCCAAGCAACGAATTTTATTTGAGATGCAATTCGCGAATCAATTCTTTGTTTTGTTGGTTTTCAATTCGACGGCGTTTGTTTCGTTGTTGCACAGCGCGTGCACATTTGCATGGACCTGTGCGTTCAGTTTGAGTGCCACGCGTATCGAATTGCTTTGGAGTCACCGACGACGAATCAATTTGCTTGTTTTCGATGCTCACACGCAAGTCCGGTTGAATTGTTGTTGTTGGTTGCTGTT